GAACGGATTAATTTGATTTCCATTATTTCTTATGGGGAAAATTAACTTGACTGACGATAATTTCGACTAACAATGAGCTCTCAGGAACGGATTAATATCGTTGGTCGAGGGTCCGCTCTATGTGTATATGAGCAGGGTAATATTTAGTGAAGAGATTCAAGGAAACTGGTTATTTTTATATAGCCGGACTTGAGTTCTGGAAATGGGAAGAACAAAGCCTGCACTTTAAAGGAGGGGTTCGGGATATTGGAAGTTTGTAGATATATATAATTGGAGCTCTGATATTATATTCTATAGAGTTTATTATATTATTTCAGGTTACTTTTTACATTGTATCTTTATACATATGTATATGCTTATAAACTGTTGTATCTGTGCATCTCTGCAAAAACAGTGATTACGTGTGAGTGAGGTGAAAGTGTTGAATGATTATGAAAATATTTTCGTTTTGGGGATTTTCTTTCTTTCTGGGTCACCCTGCCTAGGTGGGAGATGGCTGACTTGCTGAAAAAAAAAAATGTATATGACACACTATATAGTAGGCTGAATAATGGCAGTGTATGTTTAACCAGAACCCTAAGAACTTACTAGTACAGTACACGTGCATGTGCGTGTGTGTGTGTGTGTGTGCGCGCAAGGGGGGTGTCTCTCACCGAAGCTGGGTGACCTAAAACAAAAACAAGTTTATTCTTTTTACTTAGTGGATGAATTTGGTAGGGTATGTAAAAGAAGAAAGTTAAAAGTGATTATAGGAAAGAGTAAGGTGATCAGGATAACAAAAAGATTAGGTGATGAAAGATTGGATATTAGATTGGAGGGAGAGAGTATGGAGGAAGTGAATGTATTCAGATACTTGGGAGTGGACGTGTCAGCAGATGGATCTACAAAGGATGAGGTGAATCACAGAATTGATAAAGGGAAAAGGGTGAGTGGTGCACTTAGGAGTCTGTGGAGACAAAGAACTTTAGCAAAGAGGGGAATGTATGAGAGTATAGTTATACCAACGCTCTTATATCGGTGTGAAGCATGGGTGATGAATGTTGCAACGAGGAGAAGGTTGGCGGCAGTGCAGATGTCATGTCTGAAGGCAATGTGTGGAGTGAATATAATGCAGAGAATTCGTAGTTTGGAAATTAGGAGAAGGTGCGGGATTACCAAAACTATTATCCAGAGGGCTGAGGAGGGGATAAGATGGTTCGGACATGCAGAGAGAATGAAACAAATGAGAATGACTTCAAGAGTGTATAAATCTGTAGTGGAGGGAAGGCAGGGTAGGGGTTGGCCTAGGAAAGGTTGGAGGGAAGAGGAAAGGAGGTTTTGTGTGTAAGGGGCTTGGACTTCCAGCAAGCATGCGTGAGCGTATTTGATAGGAGTGAAGAGAGACAAATGGTTTTTAGTACTTGATGTGCTGTTGGAGTGTGAGCAAAGTAACATTTATGAAGGGATTCAGGGAAACCAGCAGGCCAGACTTGAGTCCTGGAGATGGGAAGTACAGTGTCTACACTCTGAAGGAGGGGTGTTACTGTTGCAGTTTTATAACTGTAATGTAAAGCATCCCTCTGGCAAGACAGTGATGGAGTGGATGATGATGAAAATTTTTCTTTTTCGGGCCACCCTGCCTTGGTGGGAATCGGCTGATGTGTTAATAAAATAATAAAAAATAAAATAATTTATGAAGGAGAATGGTTGAAGGAAGGGGACAAACTAGGTTTTCAGTGCTAGAGGTTTGAATATCCAGCAGACTTGTGTGAGCATGTTAAGCTGGAGTGAATAAAGACAACCGTGTTTCATGGCTTAATATGCAGTTTAGTCCTGGAGGTGGGAAGTACAGTGCCTGCACTCTGAAGGAGAGCAGGGATTTTGCAGTTCTGAGTTATTTGATCTTTGATGTCTTCACATTTCTGGCAAGATAATTACTGAATGAGTGATTTTTTTTTTTTTTTTTGGGGGGGGGGGAGGTGGGGGGGGGGGCTTTCTCTTTTTCAATGGAAAATGTCCTTGGGGCCTGGTGCATGGTATAAAAATCCTTGTAAAGTCATGTAATGTTTAAGTGATAACCAACATGATATCACTGTTGGATCTTTTAAAAAATGGGAGACACTCTATACCTCTTTACTGTGTTGCCCAGGTTCTTGGCACTGTAGTGTATCATGATACACTGACACACCAGGAATCATGACAATGCCATAAGGAAGAGTACACATTGAACCTTCAATTTAGAAACCAATGGGGAGGAGGGTGTCTGTTAGATCAAAATGGTCAGACTGTTCTTCCATAATCAACAATAAAGAGCATTTCTGAATGTAACAGACTGTTATTATCAGGAAATTGATTCACCCATCAGTCCCCAATAATAACAAACAATTTTGAACTTCAGTTATTAAATTCAGAATAATCTGTAACAATGACAGACAAGTACGATTTAACCCTTTGAGGGTCGGAACCCCTAATCCAAAACTTGCTCTCAAGGTCAGAAAATTTAAAAAAAAAAAATTATAAAATGAAATTGGATGGAAAACTTATGGAATTATGCTCTCACAAAGTTAGCAGTATTGGAGATATTTACACATTGGCGATTTCGCCCACTCCAAGCCCTATTTTCGGCCAATTCCATTGTTCCGGTCAACCAAACTCAAAGCTATTTCACTAGTTTTCCTTCTATTCTAACAAGTGATTACAAGAAGCTGCCATTTACCTATTACAACTACCCAATAAAGTGATAAGAAATTGGTAATTTGGCCAATTTCACACAAAATTCAAAAATTGCCAATGTAAAAACAGGGTCCACAATAAACAATGTAGACATTCCTGGCAATAAATAAACATTTCCTCTGTTCATTAGTTACATCCCCAGGCCTCTCCTATATTATGCTTGCTTTCCATTTTTTATTTTTATTCACACAAAAACAGAAGATTTACCCTTACACAGATTACTGCATTATTGCAATAATTGTATAAATAATGTCAGTGCATTTATGAATGTGTATAAGACTCAACAGTTGGACATGTACTGGATGAGTGACATAATGCATGTACTGTGGAATACTGGCAACCATCAAATATTTCCACTACTTTGAGCTCAATTTCAAGCTACTTTCAGTCCTAAAACCAATCAAAATCATCTCTATTTTTGTAATATATCTTCCATTCTATCAAGTGAGACCAAGAATACAACCATAAAAACCAAATGAATATACACTGCAAAGTTTTTTTCTCATTATGCTTTGCATGCTGCAGGATTTTTTATATGGTACACCCTTACAGCGCAAACCCATTCTCTCATATCTAGGCCCACAATTACTACTCACAGCTTATCTGAAAGAGCTGAGCTCATCATGTAGAACAACAGGACCAACCTGGGCTTCAAGGCCGTAGAACAACGGGACCCACACTCAGAGGGTTAATGAACTTTGTCCATTAAATCAGAAATCAATCAATTTACTCAGGTGATCTTAACAAGAACAGACCAGCAGCAGATTTTGTCTGTTAAATATGAAATCCATTAAATGGGGTCTATTAAATTGAGGTTTTACTCAAATAACCAACATTATTTCTCATTTTACAATACTCCAACATCAATGTTGTAGCAGTTACCAATATGACCATATGTGACTTTATATGGGCTTCTATTCCATACAGTAGACCCAAGGACACTGAACTCAAACATTCAAAGTGAGGAATGTGAGTCTACATTGTGGAGATAGCAAGAAGTTTACCTACTTGTTTACAGGGGCACAAATATGCCTATAGAACAGATAACATCAATAAAGTGTATGTGATACCTTAAATCCCACTTATACTTAATAAGGGACAAAACCAAGCTGCTGTTCCAGGAGAACAATAAAGTTAAACACAGAAGCCTGGAAAAATCTACTGTACAATAAAACTAACAAACATCATCAAGCAAAACAGTAGAAGGCTAACATCAGGAACCCTTATAACTCACAGTACTGCCAGTTATTTAAGCTTAGGAAATGTACTGCCACAGGCAGTACATTTCCTAAGCTTAAATCTGATGCATTTAACACATGCTTCTGACTCTTATACCCTGGATGACTAAGCTAGTACAGTGGTACCTCGGGATATAAACAGCTCAAAACTCGAAAATTCTTTCTTTCTTTCAACACACCGGCCGTATCCCACTGAGGCGGGGTGGCCCAAAAGGAAAAACGAAAGTTTCTCCTTTTACATTTATAATATATACAGAAGAGGTTACTAGCCCCTTGCTCCCGGCATTTTAGTCGCCTCTTACAACACGCATGGCTGACGGAGGAAGAATTCTGTTCCACTTTCCCATGGAGGTAAGAGGAAATAAACAAGAACAAGAACTAGAAAGAAAATAGAAGAAAACCCAGAGGGGTGTGTATATATATGCTTGTACATATATGTTAAGTGTGACCTAAGTGTAAGTAGAAGTAGCAAGACATACCTGAAATCTTGCATGTGTATGAGACAGAATAAAAAGACACCAGCAATCCTACCATCATGTAAAACAATTACAGGCTTCCGCTTTACAGTCACTTGGCAGGACAGTAGTACCTCCCTGGGCGGTTGCTGTCTACCAACCTACTACCTAGAACTCGAACAATTATGTAAATGTATTTATGTAAGTGCTTTTGTAAGTGTATTTTTGGGGGTCTGAAATGGATTAATCTAATTTACATTATTCCTTATGGGAATAAATTCGTTCAGTATCGGCACTCGAACAGCCTTCTGGAACAAATTAAATTCATATCTGAGGTACCACTTTATATCTCATATTTGTTATGAACTTGAAAAAGTACACTCATGAGTGAAACATTTTACCAATAAAAGACTTCACTGCTACTAGTGTCTTTTCCCCAACTGTTAGTGTTAAGCATCAACTGATGCTTAACACTAACAATAGAGGGAGATGGCCAATATGTGAAAACGAAAAAAAATAAGCCAATGGTTCAAAGAATTTTTTTAAGTTAACCTGCTACCTTGGACATATAACCATTATCCTTTAGACAAAATACCTTTAGCTCGAGGTAGCGCCGTACAAGCTGTGTCCATTTTTTACGAGCTTCAGCAACTGTTACCTCTTCTGACATGCCCAACTCTTCCAAGATCTCACTGAAAAGAATGATATTTGAAATAAACTTACTTTGCATAACTGCATTTTTCGATTTCACAATCTTTCCTGTTCATTAAGCTATGCATATGCTCAATTAATCAAAACCCAGGGATCCACTTGAATGTACACTTCCACATACACACACATTTTCATGCGATACACATTAACACACTGCAAGTCAATTAGCTCTTATCCAGAAGATTTAGAGCATGACTCACCATGTTTGCACTATAGTATGGGATAGAAGAATATTGTTGGAGTCAGCTTCAACATAGCCACTATCGAAGTTCAAGCACTTCTGCTTGAAATTAGAAGTTAATATATCATGTCTGAGTAGTCATAATGCTCTCAAATCTTCTGCCTTCAGGACTAACTCCCATTTTTAGGGAATAAGATAAAATTTACAGGTGCACCTAATCCAGCCTGTATAAACTGGGGTAAAGAAGACTAATCAGGTCTGTGATATTACAAGCATGACAGAAACGGTTGTGCACTTTGTGGGTTTTGTGAACAGGAGTACAGTATTATTGTACTGTGGAAACCAAGGGTTGAACTCCCACTTCTCTCATCTTTGGCACTGATCGAGCAACACTGCACGGATTAATGAACTCATAATTGGTTATGATAGTAGTAACTGAATGTTTGTTGGCCAACACAATATTCATAACATACAATGCCCTTCACACATTGAAAAATGATGTAGTAATCATCACCTCACAGCTAATTTCTAGTGCCATACACTTCTCAGGTTGGTGAGCTGGTATGTTTGCTAATTTTTCCAGTATGTGTGAAAACTTGACATTTCCAATTCACTCTTCATTTTTCTATATTTTTCAAACAAAATCTTGATAAATCATCTAACAGCTCCATACTTACAATCATGAGGTTCAAGACAACTTATTATGAAAGCTCTTTCAGGAGCACTTGATAACTCAGTCATTTTTTTATTTGATATAAGCACTTCTCATTGCTTAAAATCAGACATTGATTACAAAATAAAAATATACAAAAATGCTTAACCTTGATATATACCTCTCCATTTTAATAAAAAATAAAGCCCTCACTCTAATACTGATCACAGGGTAACTGATGACTTGTCTAGGAAATTTAAACTGAATAGAACTTATAGAAGTATGGTTTTTGGGGAAACAATCAAGAGCTGCAGCATTAAAGTTTACACACACTATAGCAGTTATTACCGGGATAACCTCTGGGATATGTTTAAAAGACACATATTCAAAATAAAGTTGCTAGTAATGGCAAATCAATTGATCAACAAACAAAAGAGAGATAGTCAGAGGGCAACGATTGAACTAGCTTCCTTAAGATTTACTATACAAATAGTAGGAGGCTAAGAAATAAAGAGGAGGGGGCGGTGTGCGGGGGGGAAGAGAGCGTATGGGGGGGTAAGGGGGGGGGGGGGGGGAATGAGGGGGAAGGTAGGGGAGGATAAGGGAAGCGGGAGAGGGAAGTAAGGGGTAGGGGAGAGGGAGATGAAGGGGAGAGGGGTAAGGAAGGGGGAGGGGGGGAGGAGGGGAAGGGAAGGGGGGGGGATGGCGAGGGTGGGGGGGGGGAAGGTGATAAGGGGGGGGGGGGGGGGGGGACGGGAAAAGGGGGGGGGGGGGGAGAGGGTATAGCGGCATGACAGAGTGGAGTAAGGAGAGCTAAAGATTACACTAGCAAGTGTCGAAATCTAGATATATTATTTGGAATAATCCCTACAAGACTATGGTTCAACAACCTGAAAGATAGAGAGAAATGCTTCTGAATGCAACATACAGGGTTCTAAACTATTCCACAACTGACAGGGTCAACAGGAAGGTGGTTGAGTAGCAAGTTTAGGGGGGGGTTCTAAGTCTGAGAAAAATTCAACTTTGTATGTTCTTAGCCAACACTTTAACATTTTTCGACCATCGCACACAGACTCAGTTTTTAACTACAGTTTCCTCGAGGGTTGTGACAAATTAATTTTTGGGGTAGTGTGATTTACAGGCCCCCAAACCTAGATAGAGGAGTGCCAGTAAGCATTATGGTGCAAAATTCATAAGGGCATCTAGATCACTGCAAAATGTTGTGATAATGGGAGTATTTTAACTTTTTCACAAATTGATTGGAACAAAATGACAGGAAATCTTGAGTCTATTGACTTTCTGATACACCTCAGGATTGCTCTTTAGAACAGGTTGTGATGGATACCTACTAGAGGAAAACATCAGCTTGACATGGTTCTTAGCCAACAAAGAGTCACTAATTAGATAATCTTGAGTTAATGAATAGCTTGGGGAAACGTGACACAAATCACTTAGTTTTCAAATCTATCAAGGAATCACCCAGATAACTGCAATCAATCTCTGTCCCCAGAATTTCGCTTGGCCTACCTCATGGGGGGACTGCAAAATTACACTGGGGGGGGGGGGGCTAAATTGAGAGATGGTCCTGGACTATGGGTCAATAGGTGATCTTGGTGGCCACTATGACCTTTTTTTCAGGCATAGTTTCCTAGCTGCCCAGACAACTTTTAGTTCACGAGTAGGGGAAATGTTTAGATCAACTAACCAAAAAGATCCTCAATGGATGACCAATAGATTGAATCTCTCACTGGTCAAAAGTAAGGCAAAATATAGGCGTAATCAAAAGACAGGATGGGCAGTTAAGAAAACAATATACTCAATGAATGAGAGAAATACAGAAATGAATAGAAAAGTCAAAAAGTCGCGCATTCTGAGCCTAAGGTCGGCCCAGGGCGATTCAAAGACTAAACTCCAAAAGGGTTCTTTCTCAGGTATACAGAAGTAAATTAGAGGACAAAGATGGCCCACTTATGGGAAAAACCCTTAAAATGTCCAAACATTAGATCTACGTTAACATCGTGATGCTTCCATAAAGTAGATCTACATTTTGTTACATTTTTTTCAACTACAGTGGACCCTCGAATTTAGTAGTCCCTTTTCTGTATCAACACTATTATTAACTAGAAAATGTATTTTTATGTTTAATACTGTTTTGGGTGTCACTGGAAATGGTTTAAAAAATGGATATTACATTTTTCCCTATGGGAACATAGTACCATATACAACACTTTAAATTATAGAGAATACCTAATAATGTTATTGAATTACATTCCAAGTGATTATGGTTGGTAAAATAAAGGCTGGATTTTGAAAAGTGGTTAAATTAAGCGTAATATGCCACCTGAAGAAGAGAGAATGTATAAACTCGTGAGAGAGATTTTGGGAAATTCGTGAGTGAATAAGGGAGTTTTGAAGCTTCAAGTGTGAGAGTACTTGTGGTTGGGATTTTCAATGCTACATGGAGTAAAAACTGTATGGAGGGAGTTAGTAGGTAAATTTGGGGAGCCAGGGGTAAATGTAAATTGCGTAGCCTTTTAATTTAGCTATGTGAATAACGAGATTTGGTAATAAGTAATACATATTTTATGAAAAAGAGGTCAAATAAATATACATGTATGAAATGTAGCATGAAATGAAAGTAATATTGTTTAGATTTATATATCGTGGATAAAAGGCTGATGGGAAGGCTTCCAGATTGTACATGTTTTATATAGAGGGGCAACTGATATATCGTGATCAAATATTTCAGTTTGTAGCTACAGTCAGAGTAAGAGAGATGGACAAAGCGGAAGGTGGCACAACAAGGTAAAATGTCGAGGAGGTCTAAAGTGTATAAAACTAAGGGATAGTAGGAAGTTACGGGTGAGATATAAGCGCCTATTGGCAGAAAGGTGGCTAGTGCAAAGATGAGTAGTGGGGGGGTTGAAGAGGGTTGGAGTAGTTTTTAAAATGCAGTATTAGAAGGTGGGCAGAAGTTTGTGGTTATAGGAGGTGGGGCCATAGGAAAGAGGAGTGATTGGTGAAATGATGAAGTAAAGGGTGTGATAAATAGAAAAGATTCGCTTATGAGAGGGTTTTATTAACAAAGCAGAAAAATATGTTATAACGACTATAGCTTAGTATATGGAGAGTAACAGAAAGGTGAAGAGCAGTGGAGCTGAGAGAGTGCAAAAAGGAGAGCAGAAGATGCGTGGGAGATGCACAGTCCAGAAATTTTAATGAAATAAGAAAAGATTTTGATGAGTTACACAAGTCTAAGCAAGCCTAGGGAATCGTATGGATTTGTCAGTTAAAAACAAGAGTAGGTGTCTGCCTAGTAGATGGGGAAAATGGAGGTATAGGTCAGATGGCTGAGAATATTTGGAGGATCGTTTAAAATGATGCGGAAGAAAGGGACGGGCCGTATCTTGCATGCACTGGCCACGGAGATACAAACCATCTTTTAGGAGTGAAGAAGACACTGAATCGTAAGTGTGGGGTCGGTACGTAAGGGCATTACTAGAATGAAAAGGTAAAGCAGCTGGAACTGATGGGATCATGACTGAAATGTTAAAAGCAGGGGGGCATACAGAGTTGGAGTGGTTTGTACTTTTGTTAATACATGTCTGAAAGAGGTGAAGGTACCTAGGATTGGCGGAGAGCTATGTATAGTCCCCCATTATATAACGGGAAGAGGACAAAAAGCATTGTACAAAATATAGCAGGACTAAGTTTACTAGATGTATTACTCACGAAAAGTGTACAGTAGGATTATAATTGAAAGAATTATAGGCAAAACAGATCATGTAGGATTGCGGGATGAGCAAAAAGGTTTCATGAGTGGGTAGGGATGAGTAGATCAAGTGTTTACATGAAGCATATATGTGAAAAGTATTTAGATAAGGGGTAGGAAGTTTTTATATTGACATTTTATGCTTTTAGAAAAGGCATAAGATAGAGTAATAGGGTGAGCAATAGTGGCAGATGTGCAAGTCTGAATAACGGAAATAGGTGGTAAGTATATAAAAATCTAAAGAGTATTTTCTGAGGATATGGAAGCTCAGGTTAGGGTGTGTAGAAAGAGGGAGACTACTTCCCAGTAAAAGTAGGTCTAGACAGGGATGTGTAATGTCACCCTGGTTGTTTAATAAATTTATAGATGGGATGTA